TAGTAGTAGTAGTACTAGTAGTAGTAGTAGTACTAGTAGTGTTGCATTGCTAAGAGTTAAGGGTCACACTGGAGTGTTGCTACCTACAGTACAAACATACAGTACAAAGAAAGAAAACCTCAATTGATTCAGTGAGAAATCCCAGTCAAAATGCGTACAAATAACACAGAGTGATGAAATTGGGCATCAAAGCGTCAAGGCTTTGACATTTCCGAGCTCTTTGGAGCATTCGTCTGATATTTCCAAACAAGGAAGTTCCAAGCTGGGAACCACACTCAAAAAACTCAAAAAAACTAGACCAGATGGAATCTAACTGTGTTACTACTACTAGTAGCTAACAGTCACTATTACTAGTACTAGAACAGTATGTGATAACACGATAACAACACAGTGGACTGAGACAAGCTCAAGCTCATTGTTTCCTATGATACAGTTTAGTTTAGTGTAGTCTAACCAACTAAACATCCTCTGGCCCATGGTGGTTTTCACTATGGGATTCTTTCTCTCCACCAGTGCGTTGGCGTTTAGTCGAAGAAGCAGCAGTTGGTGATGTGGCAGTCAATGCAAGGCCAACTCTCTGCATGCTTTGCTGTAATGAGGTCCCAGCCCTTAGCATCTATAGGGAGTATGTTCAATATCAAGCTCATGAGACTGATGGGCTCTGCTCGAGAGTAGTTTATAGTGCCACTCCTCTGGCCAGCGTTGGTGAACAGCAGTTGGATCCAAGAAGCCTCCTCCTCCTCCTCATATTCTTGTTGCTGCAACAAAGAAAGGAACTACAATGTACTGACTAAGAGCACTGGTGACTKGGGCATCATTTATGCCGTGTGTCGATACTCAATAGAGGCACCATGGTGCCAGCGTTGATGTTGTTGATAGTAGCCACCATGGTGGCAAATGCTCGTCGTCCTCTCTTGTTGTTGTTGTTTAGAAAAAAAGAGTCTTAATTTTGGGTTGGTCGACCAATCTTAATTTTGGTGGGCCTTTATGTTGCGTCTTTCAACCAACTCAAAATTTTGAATCGTGGGTTCCATCATAGATTTAGCACATTTAGAATGGGGTCGATTGACCCATTCCAAAAAGAATGCTACTAAATCTATGACAAGAAATTGTCATAGATTTTTGGTCTGTCTGTCTATCAAATTTAGCATTTCTATTAACGGGAATCAACCAATACCAAAATATCGTTTTCCGACGCGCGCACCAACTGCTTTTTATTCGGAGGAGACAATTCTGTCGCCATGAACCCTAATGCAGTATTCTTCCCGTACTCGTGGTACGTTGATACACGTACTTACTTCTTCAACCACGTACAGCTTTACCGTACAGTGCGTACAGTAATCATTGTTGTCGGATGACAACTTGATGTGAGCCTCATACACGTTACATCGCTAATCAAATTCGGATCGCTAATATTTGCTCACGCGCGCATGGCGGGCCTTTCCTCGCTATAAAAAAGTGCGAGTCGTTTGTGCATCGGAAACGTGCCGATGCGGCAGGATTTCTACTCCGTACTTAAACAGAACAGGGAAAACACTCTGTAGGAAACGCCGTAGCAGCAGTATCAGTAGGAAAGGAACGGGAGAAGCGGCAAAATATTCTGAAAAATGCAGCCGCGACGAACGAGTCGACCGTAAAGAGAAGACGCAAACGAGACTTGTGAACGAAAGAGGACTGAGCAGCCCCCATCGATCGACAGATTCATCTTGCATCTTGCCCATCCTTTCAACCCGTCGATGCGATAAATCAACCAGCATCTTCTTCTTCACGATACACAAAGCACTAAGGTATACCGAACAACTACAACATACCGTCAACAAGGAGGGAAAGAACAATAGAAAAGTGCACACATAGCGTACCTACAAATACTGTTTATTTTTGCAGCGCGGTAGAGGCACAGATTAGAAATCAAAACGTCCACAACTTTCAATCGCTCTGGAAGATACCGTTCGAATTCCTTTTGTGTGAAACGATCAGCAGAAACAACAACTAAAGCTGGAACAACAAAAACCACGTATAGGAACAATCAGAAAAGTAATAACAATACAACAATGCAGCCGCAAACAATGTTGCCCGTCGGCGACGACAATATTCCTGCTCCACATTCGTATCGCCAGCCGACGAAAGCAGTGAAGCACGGTCGACCGCTTTCTCCGAATACCCTGGACAAGGATATCGACGAAGAATATCTTTTGGGCATTCCGGCACCGCCTCCTCCACCAACTCCACCGCCAGGCCGACGCGGTGGCAGCAAGCAGCATCTTGTTTCTACCTCTCCTAGCGATCCAAGTAATCCGACCAGTCCGCGGCAAAAGCGACACCAAAGGCAGCAACAACCCCCGGAAAGTCCACTGCGCCAGACTCCGAAAGAGCAGAGCGCTTGCGATTCGACTTTTCACGAAAACGATCCCAGTAATGAAAGCACACCGACGACACTCCCCAAAACGAAAAAGGTGACGAAACCCTCCGCTAACAGCACGAGCGCCACCAACCAACGGACTCCGAAAACACGGACACCACAGCGCAAAAACACAACAAAAACCCAAACGCCGACGTTTAGTAAAAGTGCCGAATACGGCAGCCGGCTCGAATCGTTTCATCAAGTCATGCTGGAAAACATTGAAAAGGAAGCATTGCTAATGCGGAGACAGGGAGCAACTCCGGGAACACCTCCCCGAAATCATTCGCGTGGAAGCAGCTCAAGCGGCCGAAAAGCCAGTGACTATGGCAGCAGTGGTAACAACGGCGTGGAGAGTCTCCTCAAAGAAACCATGAACGATATTTCTAGCGCAGCTGCATCCACCATGAAAACCCTCCAGTCGGCAATCCAGCATACAAAAGAACGGGCTTCGGCAGGCAATCTGGGCGCAGGAAATGCTGGACCTGCCCCCATAGTATGTGTTAGCATACACCAAGGGGAGGCGGGGGATGACTCCTTCGGCGAGACGGGAAATCACTACCCACACAATGCGAACGATGACGACGATCTCATGTCTCCCATGGCGACAGCCAGAAAGGAAACGCGGGAAAACCAGCGTTCGGCAGCATCGAAACAACACGCATCGAACAGACATCCGAGAATGGCTGCATCACTGCCGGGCGTTGAACACATGCCGATGCTCAACTCTTCGTCCGGGGCCGAAATGATGAAACGAATGGGCGATGCCCTGAAAAAAGTTGTGGTGGACGCTACTGCTGGTGCTAACAATCACCAGAACAACAATGACGTACAACGCCGTAACGATCGCGGAGATCGAAGGGGCAGCGACGAAAACGAGAACGATTGGGGAGTGGGAAATATTCTCGCCAATGGATTTGGTTGGGACGGTGAGGAAGACGACGATGACGACGACCAGCGCTCCCGTGCTACCTACGATACCTGGGATGACGAAAACTCTGTTCTGAGACGGCTTGGATCTTGGGGGACAGTCAACTCCCAGTACACAGCCGGTACCACAGGAACAGCCGCCACCTTTGGCACGATGGCTACCTACGATACGGGCGGTGACACAGAGGGAGGACTGAGCGTTGTTGGACCCGTGAGTGCCGCTGTGGCGGCCGCTTCCGCGGCCAAGCTAGCTTCAGCGGCAAACGGTGACCAGTCGATGGCACAAGGCGGAGCAGAAGTCTTCCGCGACGACAACGGACAACGCATCGATCCATTGTTGATCGAGCGCGCAATGAAAAAACAGCAGCAGAATCTTCCAAAAGAGAGCAGCCTTCTCGGAAAAAAGTCACAGAGGAAATCACGCCGACAGCGTCGTAAAAAGGTGGTCAAGTTCGATTACCCACCAATCAAGTCCCTTCGGCAATACACGCGGCCCGACCCGGAGGATCTGCCAAAGCTCTTTTTCACTGAAGACGAACTGGATCAGATCGAGGACGATCGATACTCGACGATGAGCACGGACGACATCGAAATCGTCGCCGTCTCATCCAAGGAAGGGTCTTCCATCAATGCCTCCGCGGACGACGGCGATGCTGCAGCCACCGATGGCGATACCCGCCGCAATACCAAAAAATGTGCCGCAGGAAAAAAGAAATCCTCGGGCGGCGACGAAGAGTACGAGTTGGGTTGCAAACCCGTGAAGGGACGAAGCGGGACACCCATTCGTCGGAGGGCTCGTGGCGGAGACGACGATGTAAAGCAAACCCATTCCGGCGACACATCCAGCAACGGGCCGAGATCGCCTCGCAGACTCGTGAAGGGGGTCCAGATCTATTTGAGAGAGCGTTCCACCGGAGCTTGAGTTTAAGTGGAGCGGTGCGATGCGATGCAAAACCAAGCCGGCTAGTGTTGAGCTACTGATATTTCAACTTTTTTTACTCCATTTGAGTATGCGTAGATACGCACGATGCGCACGAATGGAGTCCATTTGGCATCCTCCTTTCCCCTTCAATTCTATCCTGGGTGGCAATCGTATGCAAAAATGGCACGATTGAACCGATTCTATTTTGTGAATCCTAGAAGTCGTTGACTGGCGCAAAAAGGCAATAGCTGATCTAAATTGATTCAATCATCACCAGAAAAATGAAATTTTGCCTCCCAAAAAAATCCAGCCTGCTATTTCACACTTCATTGCTCTCATCAACAAATTTTAGCCCGAGACCCCACTTCTTGGCGCACACCACCGAAGAAGGAAGCCAAATGGAAGAACAGCGAGACGACCAGATCGACTGTGCAGTACAGCAGGAGCGAGCAAAACTGATTGGATTCTGTTTTGTAAGTCCGATGGATTTGGCGATCTGTCGAAAATATACTATACGCAAGCAATGGAAGGAACAAAATAAACCCGTTCTCCACGAATAATTAATATAGAAAATTCATACCGCAGTCCAAAACCAATAAGATCCGATGCAAGTTTGTCCAATCCGGTTAGATTTATTCTAAAGGAATCACTCTTCCTATTTATTCAACCAATTTCATATTTTGAGACAAATGAGGGCATTTTAAGCACATTCAATAATTTGACCACCGTGCTGGAAATTTCATCGTCCTGTTCTGCAATCGTTTTAAATCAGAAAAATGTACTACTACTCCACAAAGGCTTGCCGCTTCGATTTTCAATCTCTCCTCATGCGCATCCTCTCCCATATTGGATGGTCTGCATCGCCTACCGATACCGAACTCGCTGCTGATGGAATGAATTATTCTTGATCAAGTTGCGGAGATACCAGGTACCGTACCGGCCGGTACATGTTGTCATCGCTTTCCTTGTTCGATTGTTCGATTGATGTCGTCGGAGGTATTCATTGTATATTGAAATATATTTTTTGGGCCACGCTCGGCAGATTAGTATCTCGCGATAGCTCAGTTGGTAGAGCGGTGGACTGTAGAAGACATAAGATATCCATCGGTCACTGGTTCGATTCCGGTTCGCGAGATCCTTTGCTTTTTGCACGTTTTGTATCTATGCCTCTTAGTAGAGCCTAAAGAGTGAGGTTTGAAGAACTCTCATCCAAGAAACGAGAGATTTTTTCTTCAACAGTGAACTAAAGGCTTCAATTGTTCCTTTTATTAATGCTAGAAAGTTTCCTACACCTTGTTTGTCTTCTTGTTGAACCTCGTCTACTACTCGTAGTACTAGTACTACTAGTACAACTACTATTTACTAGTAGTACTAATAGTAGTACTACTAGTAGTAGTACTAGTGGTGCATAGTAGTAGTACTAGTAGCTAGTACTAGTACTAGTACTAGTAATATCAGTTATCATGTGTTTCACCATCAGGTTTTTACTAACTTTAGTTAGTTTAAGAACTGCAAGAACTTCTTATCTCATTTTTTTCTTAAAATACTGACCTTGTTTGTAATTTTTGGTGGAAAAGGTAGTAGTAGTATCAGAATTCATCTTTTTGAAGCAGCTGATTTTTTATAATAATACATCCTCATGCTGTACCAGCACAGACTTAGTCATCAAGTAGTCAATGGAATGAGGATTCTTTTGCTGGTGAAACCAACAACAAGATTTGCCTAGTCTAGATCTTGCTGTTGCCATCCCCTGCTTCCTTATTCCTTTCCAATGAAGGTTTCTTGGGTGGCACCATCACCAGCATGTTTACAAGCATGATCAATATTGACCTCTGCACCATTGTTAAATTGATGGTGATTGTCTTCTTCAGCTTTTTCCTGTTCTTTCTTCATTGGCTCAAACATCTTGTTCATATGTCAGCATCATCGACACCATTATCAATATTAGTTTCCTTCTTCAACTTGTTCCTCCATGATGTTACTAGTAGTAGTAGTTGCCTCCATGGCAGCCACCTCCTCAGTTTCAAATCTCTTGGACTCAGACTCCTTCATCAGTTCCATTACTTTGCTGCAAACATCTTTTTGTATTTTCTTTTTTCTTCAACAGATACCAAGCTCGTGGTTCTTTGGTCAAGGACGGTAGCAATTGTCAGAATTAGGTGGATCATCCCCTCCTGTCTTCATTTTTCCAACCGTGGTTGAAGTCCTCCAAGAGAATTCCAGTCAGTTTGCCTCCACTAGTATCACAATTTGCTTCATATTCTTGGATTAGTGTATCTTGAATTTTCTCACTGCTCCACCACACAATACACTTGCACTGACATACTTGTCTCCCTCTAGGGCTTTCTAGGTTATTTTGAATGGCTCCAACACAGCAAACATGATTTCATTCAGATGTTTCCAGCCGTCACCTGTAAGTTTCTCCACTTTTTCCATGTTTGACCCTAAATTCATTGCTTCCATTGCTGTTCTAAGATAAATCAGACAGTCGAGTACATCATATGTTGACCACCATCTTGTCACGACATCATCAACAACACCAACAGTTTTCTTTCTTTTGTAGGTTTTGAACTCTAATTCCTGAGCCCTAGTGAGCATTTCTGTCACATGGTTGGAATAATTGAGATGGTGAACGTGTGTTTTTGCGTTTTTTGTACTAGCTCTCAGCATGAAGAACACCAAATGTTTTATTTGGGTCTTTGGTAGTATACTAAGCCTGCTTGCAAATGTTATGCTGTTCATGGTCAGCAAAATAAATATGGTTACCAGTTGCCTTGAATGTTTTTTGTTTCAAATTGACTCAATGAAGTTTAAATGGCCTTTCCTTTTTTTGCTGTCATCTTTAGCCTGCTGCTGGTCAGCATTCAATTCTTCCATTAAGACCTCAATAACCTTCTTGTCGTGTGCTTTTGAATTCAAGTGGTGGTTCATGCTTGCAAAATATTGTTTTGTAGTAGTCATTCCATTACCAATCCAGATCCCCATCCTGATCAGACTGCCACACAATATCAGCAGTAGACTTCATAAAATAGTACAAGCCTGGTGTGTACTAATGATAAGAGACAAGAATATATATAGCTGTCACATTGAAGTACTCATTTCGAAGACTTATTGACCTCAAAGTGAGTCTTTGTGCAGAATTACTACGAAGAAAAAGGTAATGTTTCCCACTTTAATGTTGAAACTCCTTTACTTCAGAAGAATAGTAGTAGAACTATCAGGTCCATGATGTACTACTCTAGTACCAATAATGAATCTGTATAGTACTACTAGTTGACTTTAGATCAGATTGTTGCTGCTACTACTCTTGTTTTGACTAGTTTGTGAAAATAAACAATAATTCCTGAAATTTATAGCTGCATTTAGCACACTCTTGTCAATGAGCTACTATTTCCTGATGATAGTACGATTCCTTTAACTTTCACAAGAGAGACATGGGATTCATAGTAAACTGAGAAGGAATCTGCCCTGAATCCATTTAAACGGTATAAGCTGAGAGACAGATTTGAGATGATGATCAAGAAACAAGTAAACAAATACAAAGCAAAGTTGTGTGACTTTGTTCTCCCTGTAGTTTGTATTTTGTTCTCAAGATGCTGCTAAGTTTCTTGACTCTATCCCTTCTAGTGGTGAGTTAGCTACTACACAGCAACTGTAGTGACTCTAGATATTAGGTTCACCACTTCAGTGCTGGTAAGATTTGGTTAAAGCCTTAGCTTCAAGTGCTCTTCCAGATCTTAGAAGGCTTTGGGCTCAGTTGTGTTGTCTTCTCTAGAAGATTTTTGGCCACATTCTTCCTCCTCCTACTACTACTACTACTCTATATCAAATATTGTCAGGGAAACCATATTACTTATACTAGGAATGGATTGTCAAATAACAAGTATGACCAATCTGGCAAACAAGACACATACAGGATCTAGACTGACTCTTACATGGCTTCACGCAATTGAGAAGAAGAACAGTGCACTTCATTGTTTACACCCATACTTTTACTACCCTTTTTCTTCTCTAGTACTTGAAACTGGTACATCTTTGGCTCATCCAAATAAACTCCTTTTGGGCAAATAAATATATCACAGCAGAATTCTTACTTAAATCTACCATGTGTTCTACTACAGCAGTAAGAAATTCCTGCACATGTTACATAGCTTAGCTAGTGGCCCTTCAACAAATAAGGCCCTCTTCAACTTACTAGTAGTACTCTAGTACTACTAGTAAAAGTAAAGTTGTTACAGATTTTAAGAGTTCCACCCGTGTTCACTTTGAAAGACCAATTTTTCACACAAATATTGCAATATTTCCCTTTTGCTTCTTCATGCTTTCCTGCTCCACATATTTTGCACATGAATTAAAGGTAGTAGCTTAACATGAGCAATGATACTGATCTTTTCCCTTGTTACAAAGAAGAGAGAAATCCCACAGTTACAATAAGGACAAAAGGTTCCATCCTTTCAGTTTAAGGCATCCACTTTGACTCACAATCTTTGTCGTATGGAGGAGCTTTCTGATCCATTTCAGCATACCTTTGTTCATCAGACTTTTCCTCCCAACATAGTGTTTTGATTTGAACTACACCTTCCATTCCTTTGCAAACTCATCAAATGCAAGGTCACCTAGTGGTAGTACTAACTAAGAAGCACAAGTAAATCAACAATTCCTTCATAAGAAAGAAGCAACCACCAATACAAAATGCAAATTAACCATCTGTTTCTGGCCCAACAAAGTGATGGGAAGATTTTACTTAGCAAATCAGATGCATCTTCTACACTTTGTTATATTCATAATTCACTCAATCCTATGGATCCTCATGATTGACTTGACTCTCATTTGAATCACACAAATCACTCAATTTTCACTTTGACCAATTTTAGACCTCATAGTTTGTTGGTTCTCACTAATAAGATGATTCAACATCTCTATAAGATAGTAGTCACACCCACAGCTCTTGCTTTGTAAATAACCTTACATACATTCAGATTCATCACAAGATAGCAGGTCAATACTGCTGCTACCAACAAGCATGTCACCCAAGACAAAGAAAATCAATTATTTTTTCCATCACAGCCCTGATTTTCTAGAGTGGTTCACTACTGTTTTCTACAAATTGGCTTGGCTTCTGTTGCCACAAGCATAAAAATAATGTCTGACAGACAAGGCAAATTCATTGTTGTTCATTGTCTCCCTGATGAAGGGAGCTTAGAACCACTACTAGCTAGTACTACTAAAATCAACTTCAGCCCAAGATCTATGAGATCTGGAGGATCCTCCTAACTGAGTAGTAGCTTCTCTTGGTTTGTTCACATTTTATTACCTCATAAAGTCAACACACACTTGAACTTGGGGATGGGTTTTACTGCCTACTTCAAAACAATTGTGTGCAATTTAATGACCTTTGAAGGAAATATCAGAGTAGGCGCTGATATCAGTAGGAACAGGCACTTCTAAGGCAACCATTACTACTAGTAGAATCTAGTATCAGCACTAGAAACAATGCTATCATGCATCATCTGTAGAGGGAGTTTTCTTGCTAGCAACAAGAAGAGGGCCACTAATTTAGGGTTTGATTTTATGTGGG